ACGTTGTGATCCACCCTGAGCTTGCTTTGCACTTCCTACCTGGCCTTGTGACCCTCTGTTCTCCCCCACTTTGCCTATGGGGGTGTGTCAAACATATGTTTATATGTTGTAGTTTAGATAGGCTTTAGTGGGGTACTCACTGTGGGGTACAACCCCTTAGGTTTCACTTTTGTACAAACACTCTCGACATTCAATACCACTTTTTGCTTAGGATTCTAACAACGCGTTGTAGGCGTTCGGCGGCGATAGTATGGTCACCAGGAACGACGGGACACACGACTGAGATGGCGGCGGTGCGGAGTTCATTATCTGTCATCTTTCTTCGTACAGTCTTTACGTCCCTATCTTTTTATTGTCTTCAGTCATGTGCAGGTGAAATTGCTTAACAATGCCTTAAGTGTGTGGCAGCAGCGATAAATTCCACCTGGTCTAGGATTGCGAAGATTAACCTCGTGACGGTGAGCATGATGCGGCACCCAAGGTGTACTGTCTGGGTGAGTCCAGCCGAATTGCACTTCTTGTTGAAGCGAAGTGGGATGAGATCGATGAGCCCGTCGGTATCTCCTCCGCAATCGAATGTGTCTAAGTCAAGTACGTAAACCCCCTACAGGGCTTAGCGCCTCCGTGGTATCGCCGTACTAGGTTGGCGGCTGTGTAGTAGAGTTTGATGTTGCATGGCGAAAGTTAGATGCTCTGTTATACCCCCCAATCCGCGGTCCTGATCACTCCTCTCGTCACCCTCGTGCCCTCTTCACTGCCAACTTGGTCACCGCCATCGACCTGGACGTCGACGCCGTCTTCGTTGTGCACGGGTCGGGGAGAAGCAGATGCACCGTCCGCTTCAGGTCAGGAGGGTGCTTGCGCGCCCACCGCGCATGAGTGCCTAGGAGGAGCACCTCCAAGGGAGCCTCGCTGAACTCGCCAGCTGTGTGGCGTCGCCGAACATCAGCCTCACGTGCTTCTAAGCTATCCTCTACTCCGCCGGCTCTGCCGGGGTAAGCATCATGGTTAGCACGGGTTGCCGGCCTAACAACGTGTTGAAATGTATTAATATACATTTATAAGCCTGCCTACAGAAGATCCTAGTGTATTTATATTTCCTGAATTGGTGGTGCACCTCCTTGTGCTTGCCTATATCTTGTATCTCCTTTCTCATAATGAACCCTCTTCTTTCGCCAAAACCTCTCGATACCATCTCCTAGCTCCTAAGCCTAAGCCATGCCTCCTAAGCTTACATAGTTACTTTAACATGCTATCAGAGCAGGTTCTATCCTAGAACCTTCCTTTTTTTGAAGGATCATGGGCCCACCCGTCGCACAGCCCGCAATGCTCCCCGCGGGTCCCCAAATCGCCCAGTGGACGACCCCCACGGATCCCGCGTTTCGCGCTCCGAAGGCCCCCCGTTTCGCGCTCCGAAGGCCCCCCGTTTCACGCTCCGAAGGCCTGCCCAAATCGGGCCCCGACGGACCCCCGTTTCACGCGCGTTTCGGGTGCGCACGTCGCGGCCACGCTCGTTCCGCTGTCGCGCCGCCCCGCCGCTGGTCGCGGACGCCAGCACCAGCGACACCGCCATTGCAAGCACCAGTGCCAGCGTCAGCGCCAGCGGCATGCGCCAGCGTCGGTCGCGAGCGCCGGCGCCAGCAGCGGCCCCGCCATCGCCACCCCACTCTCCGCCTCTGCACCTGCTGCCGCGCTCTTCCACGGTGGACGTTGCGGGGGGGAGGTGGCGGGGCTCGCGCCCGCGGCTACAGGGGTACTGCAGCCTCCCTTGAACCCTCCCGCCCCTCCCTAATCCTCCTCCTCATCGCTGCCCGTGCATCTGCGGTGCGTGCCGCGTTGGGAGGGAGGGGGGGGGGAGGGGGAAGAGGGTGTGGGGGTGACGGGTCTTTGAAGGCAGCCGCCCCCCCCCTTCTCCTCCTCCTTCCGCTGCACTTCCTTTTCTCCTCCTCTCTCCTTGTCTCCTCCAGCCGCCTTTCCTCTCCTCTCCTCTAGTCCTCCCTCCTCTCCGTTTGCTCCTCCACCCGTCTCTGCTCTTGTAGGGAGAGGTTGGAGAGGTTGGAGGGGGGTGGCCGTCGTGAAGCCCAGCAGCGCCAGTCGCTAGTGAGCCCGTTGCTCCAGTCGCCCGTGGGTCAGTTGCTCTAGCCGTAAGAGCGGGATGCTCCAGGTGTACGAGCCTGTTACCCCAATAGCCCGTGAGCGAGTTGAACAAGTTGCCAGTGTGCTAGCATCTTCAGCCGCCGCCCACCTCCTCCTCTCCTCTCTCTCTCTCTCTCTCTCTCTCTCTCTCTCTCTCTCTCTCTCTCTCTCTCTCTCTCTCTCTCTCTACTCTTTGTGTACCCCTTTCAGGGGGTGTTGCTGCACATGGTTCTGACTGCACGCAGCTAGGGGGTGTGTTGAACTGTAGTAGTATACATTTATATACCTGCCTACATAAGATCCTAGTGTAGTTATATTTCCTGTAATGGTGGTGCACCTCCTTGTGCTTGCCTATATCTTGTATCTCCTTTCTCATAATGAACCCTATTCTTTGGCCAAAACCTTTCGATACCATCTCCTAGCTCCTAAGCCTAAGCCATGCCTCCTAAGCTTACATAGTTACTTTAACACAACGACTTAGGTAAGCGGTGAGTCAGCTACTATTCTGAAGGTAATCTGCAGGGCCCTCCATGCTCACGCACCATGCGGAGAGTCACTCTGCAACGGTGGGGGCTGAACTACAGGTGAAGGTACGGGTGGTTTGAGTAATCGTAGCTGTGCTTGTGTTCTATAACACATGTGCGTTCATTGTGTAAAAAAACAAGAGTTTCACTAGCAAAAGATGAGAACAACAATAATGATATGAATTGCAATGGCTAGAAAGACTACATCTGATAAAAGGCAGCCTAGAGGAAAGGAGCAAGTCGGTGGCCTGCCAGCGTTGCACCAAATCCGCTTGCCAATGCTGCAGCAGGCGCGCTGGGCAACGGGGAGCGCTGGCGCGCTGGGCAACGGGGAGCGCTGGCGCGCTGGGCAGCGGGGCGCGCTGGCACGTTGGGCAGCAGGGCGCGCTGGCGTGCTGGGCAGCGGGGCGCGCTGGCGCGTTGGGCAGCGTGGCGCGCTGGTGCGCTGGGCAGCGGGGCGTGCTGGGGCGCTTGGCAGCAGGGCGCGCTGGCGCGTCGGGCATTGGGGCGCGTTGGCGCGTTGGGCAGCGGGGCGCGCTGGCGTGCTGGGCAGCAGGGCGCGCTGGCAGAGCGCGCGGGCAGGCAGGGCGGCGCAGCTGCAGGCAGAGCGCTCGCGAACAGGGCGGCGCTCAGGCAGGGCAGCAGGGCGCTCAGTAGCAGGGCAGCTGGGCGCGCGCGGGCAGGGCAGTAAGGCGCGTGCTGGCGCTAGGCAGCAGGGCAGGAAAAAAAAAAAGTTTCGAAGTCCAGGCAGGGCGGAACGTTCGGTGGGCCTTAAGGAACGTACCTACTCTAATATCGTGTTAGAATATGGAAACAGGAATGGTTGACTAAAGCAGGATGAGTGGTACAAGTAGCAACCCTAACAAAGGATTGTACCCCATAGGGAGTAACCCACTATAGCCTAACATCACTAACATGATATAAACATGTTCTGACAGACCTGTACGCCATGGGCAGCTGCGTCCCGCGCCGATGTCCTGCACGATCTGCGGGCAGCCAGCTACACCTCCCGCGCACCCGACTGCAAGGGCGGGTCCATCTACCATCAACACAGTCAAGGTACCAGGTGTTGATATTGTCATCACCGTCGCGAGTCAAAAGCGCTAGGCGTGGAGTGACGAGGCGCGGGATGTTGCCCGTGCTCAGAAATCTTGCTGCGTGTTCCAGTTATTTTAAAAGATGTGCATATTTACAAGGGACTAATTTATTGCAAGTCGGAAGTGTTCAGGAGCTCATAAGAGTATACGCATAATTTCACCGAGTTTTCTCGTACAGAGTATGTGCATAACGAAGACAGCCCATATGTACTTGGACCTTGACAGTTTCGGTGGGGAAGTTTCAGAATCATCCAAGGCAAGCGGTGGCACGTACGCGGAGGCGCAGGTCATGGGTCAAGGGCCAACATCCATCCGCTCCTATCGGACGGTCCGTCAAGCCCAACGGTTTGGGGGATAAGGCAGACCGTGTTTGTGATTGGCTGCCGCCAGTTGCCGCGAGAAATTCCTGTCACATAAACAGCACCGGGACTGCCGCCGACAGTCGGTCCCGTCAGTCGGGGACAGAGGTGGAGGGTGTGTGAAGGTGGACCCAAGCAAACGCCCCCCGTTATTGTCTCATCCACGGCGGAAGCTAGCTGCGGTGCGCAGCAGCAGAGGCTACACGTTAGGCGAACAGCGGAGCAGGATTCGCAAATAGGAGGAACCAAGGTGGAATACAACGAACCAGATTGCAGGACTTCAAAATGCGGAGTTTCCGAGGAGTGTCGCTGAAACCAAGGCGAGGAGATGAAACCAAGGAAAGGAACACTGATGAAAAGCGAAGCTCCCAAGAGTGGATTTCGCCAGCACATTCGACTGCCATCAGTAGAGTTCAGGGAGGGAGTATTGGAAGGTGAAACCAGAAGCAATTCCAACTTCGTTTTCTGGGATGCCTAGCTTGGTTGGTAGGCAGACAACCACCACTTTGTTGGCGGAACTTCCCATCCATCGTCAGGGAATTTTCTCGTTCTGCTAGCTTCCTTAGTTCCGGTTGACTGAAGTGGCTTGTTAGGTGTAGAATTTTGTGTTGCTGTAATCAGGATGCCACATTAGTTACTCAAGCAAAGCCTTCCCGAAGTTCACGTAATAGCTGTTTGGCATGGGTATACCCCGGCGATCCGCATATACGAGGTTCGTAGACCAATCAGACAGCGACAGCTCTCCAGGGTCCTCCAATCCCTCTTCCCCATTATGTCAGAGCAATCCCTACCGGTTCACCTCCGCAAACCTACACACGCCAGAAGACGCCAAATCGCTCCAAACCGAATGGAACCTCCATCAGATGCAATACCAATCTCCGCCCATGCCCCACGCCTTAGCTCCAGTAGCCGAAGCCGAGAATGACGCGCATGAGCTTGATCTTGGGGCAGAACCAGGGGAGGCGCAAGCTCTTAACACCGACAGAGAGAATGGCGGAGGGGAGGCGGAAGGCGCGGGCGGAAGCGGGAGTGGCGGAGGATGGGGGGAGCGGAGAGCGCAGCTGCTGCAGCTCGGAGCGGCGAGCTGGGACCGGCTGGTGCCGCGGCGAGTGCGGAGAATCTTCGGGCAGGGGATCATGCCGCGCGCGTGGGGGTCGCAAGGGCCGATATTCGGGCTCGTGGACCGGCAGACTACGCCAGCATCGGCATGGGAGTGGTGCGTGCCAATGCGATGCGGTTAATTACCTGGGAAATTTTGTCTGTATGTTCGTGTAACAAGTTCATTCGGAACGAATTTGGTTGCCGCGACGCCTCATTGCCGTTTTCCGAGCAGACTAATTGACGCGTCGAAGTTTCGCCGCATGGGGAAGTTGACTTTCCTCCGCCATCCGCTCTTACGACGGGGTGGTTCAGCGACCATAAGAGCATTTCCTTTTTTCCCTTCTCTCCCCTCACACAGGCTAATGGACACGTGGAAGTCTCGGCGCGTGGGGCAGCTGGATTTTCTCCGCCACCCCCTCGTGCAGCCGGTGGTTCAGCTGCCGTAAGAGCATTTCCTTTCCTCCTCTTCTTCCCTTCCCCTCACACAGGCTAGTGGACACTTGGAAGTCTCGCCACGTGGGGCGGTTGGAGTTCTTTCGCTCTTGCGGCCGGTGGTTCAGCTACCATAAGAGCATTTTCTTTCCCCTCCTTGCCCCTTTTTTTTCCCTCACACAGGCTAGTGGACACGTGGAGGTCTCGGCGCGCGGGGCGGTTGGATTTCATCCGCCACCCGCTCGTGCGGCCGGTGGTTCAGCTATCATACGAGCATTTCCTTTCCCCTCCTTGGCCCATTTTTGTCCCTCACACAGGCTAGTGGACACGTGGAAGTCTCGGCGCGTGGGGCAGCTGGATTTCCTCCGCCATCCGCTGGTGCGGCCGGTGGTGCAGCTGCCGACTGAGGCGTTCGTGGGGCTGCTGTTCTGGACGAGCGTCATGGCGTTCGTGCGCTCCGTGTACTGGTTCATGCTCGCCGCGCAGGGCCTCACCTCGCACATCCTCCTGCTTGGTTACCTGCTCGTCCCAGGTAGGGCTCCATTCAGTTATGTGCTCGCCGCGCAGCGTGTACTGGTTCATGCTCGCCGCGCAGGGACTCACCTCGCGCATCCTCCTCCTCGGCCATCTGCTCGTCCCAGGTAGGTTTCCATTCGATTCAATGCTCGCCGCACAGGACCACACCTCGCACATCCTCCTGCTCGGCCATCTGCTCGTCCCAGGTAGGTTCCATTCAATTAGGTGCTCCCCGCGCAGGGCCTCACGGCTCACATCCTCCTATTCGCCTACCTGCTCATCCCAGGTAGGCTCTCACTCCACTAGATAGATGCTTGTCGCCGGAGGTCGTACGCAAAGGGTCGTCGCAGTCGGCTGATGCTTGTCGCAGGCAGGCCGACGCAGTCGACCAGATGCTCGTTTTACGATGCTCGTTTCTGGTGCTTTGTTGGCCGTTGACGCGACTTCGCGCATGTCGAACCCTAACCTCCATCGACTTCGCATTCCGTCGCCTCATCGCCCGCGCCTCTTCCCCACCCGCCTCATGTCTTTCTTTACTCATTGCCAACGCGACTTCGGCTCCCGCTATCCCTTACCCGTATCCACTCCTCGGATTTTTTTTCCCTGTCTCTCCCCCCTGACCCCCCTCCCCCCTGCGCTTCCCCTTCGCCACATTCCCCTCCCCCAGGTCTCGTGCTAGGTCACGAGTTTCTACACCAGCTGCTCTCCGTCAATCCCTTATTCCCTATCCGCTACATACCCATCCTCCTCTCTCTCTTTCCCCCTTTTCATCACCCCTCTCCCAGGTCTCGTGCTAGGTCACGAGTTTCTACACCAGCTGCTCTCCACCAATCCCGTGCTCCGAGCGCTGCTCGTCCTGGGCGGCGTGGTCGGCGTGGGCGGCAGCAGGGAGGGCGTCGAAACCACTATATGGGGGGTTGCTCTTAGCGGAGCAGGAGTTGCCATGGTAGGGTTATACATAGGGGAGGGTCTATGGCTCGCCCCCCCTGCGCGCAGGCGGAGGGTCGGGTTCGGGCTCGCGGGGGGGCTGCTGCTGCTGCAGGCGCTGCAGTTGGCGTTCGGCGGGCGCAACCCGCTGCTTGCGCGCTGGTGGGGGCTGCTGCTGCTGGCGGTGCTCCCCGGCGCGTGGGTGGCGGCGCTTCTGCTGTATGAAGAGTTGCGGGACTGGGAAGGGGAGGAGGAGGCGGAGCAGGGGCGGTTGATCGGCGGGAGCGGAAGCGCGGAGGGCGCGCAGGGGTACTGGCCGGCTGGGCGCGGTGGGCAGAGGTTGGAAGGGACTGTGTTGAGTGAGGATGACTGGAGTGTGGAGTCGGAGGGAGGGTGGCGGGCAGCAGAGGAGGCGGGATTGAAGCAGTGGGATTGTGTGAAGGGTGATTCTAACGTGCTGGATGACGGAGGTGTTGAGAGCGGTGAGCGGTGTATGGAGATGGTTACAAACGGTCAGGAAAGGGCGGAATTGAGGGCAGCAAATGCAAGTTTTGTAGCAGTTACGGTTGATGGGGAGGAAGAGGAAATGCAACAGCAGCAGCAGCAGCAGCTGGGGCAGCAGCTGGGGCAGCAGCAGCTGATGCAGCAACGAGAGGTCATTCCAGCATCAGTAAAAGCCCCAGCTGCCGAACCTGCTGCTGCCCGCCCGTCTAGCACAGGCTCGCAATGCCTTGGAACGTCCTCCGAGCCTAACAGCCAGGGTTGGGGGGGCAGCGTGGACGAATCGCACGACGCCTCGTCATCGGCCTATGACAGATCGCGGACTGTATCCGCTTCGGCAGCAGCAGGCTCGGCAGGGAATGCTGCCACTGGCCCTGTGTGGGTGGCTGATATGCTGGGCGGGTTTATGGAGGAAGAGGAGGAGGTGGAGAACGGTGGGGAGGGCGGGACTGTAGTGATGAGTGAAAGTGACAGTAACGCTGGGGCGAGTAGGGAGGGGTGTGGGTGCCATTCCCAACACGGGTGTGAGTGTGTAAGAGTGCTTTGTGCGGAGGGGACGCTTGGGGGTGAATGCAAGTCCGAGGTAGAGGAAGGGGGAGGAACAGTGGAAAGAGCGGCTGTGAGAGAAGGGGAGGGGAGGGAGTCTACAGGATTTGGAGGTGAGTTGGGAGCTGAGGTGCAGGGGAATGGGGAGTCGGGTCCGCAGGAAGCAGGGCGTGAATCGGCAGTGGGGGTGGAGGGGCAGGGCCCAGAGCTGCAAGATGGGTGCTGCAGCGAGGGTTTGCCCAAATGTAACGAGGGTTCGCTAGAAGGCAACGAGGATTACCCTGAGTGGCGGGAGCCTGCTCGTGGAGTGCTGGGGTACTTTGGCCTCGAGATTGGCTCTGTGGAGACTTCTGAAGGGAAGCTCAGGGCTGAGTGGCGCAGCAGCCGGCAGTGGGAGACCACTGTGGAGCTTAGCGAGTGTGACAGTATGGGGTACGGGTCGGACGGCCGAGCGGAGGGATATGGGGCAGGGAACGGAGGAGGAGGAAGGGGAGAGGGAGGAAGGGCAGAGGTAAGGGGAGGGGAAGGTGAAGGGGGTAGGGAGGCGGGAGACGGAGCAGGAGGAGGTTGTGAAGGGTTGAGTGTGGTTCGGGTGCGCAGCAGAGAACGCAAGTGCTACGACACGAGCCGGAACCTGCCTCAAACCGGTCAGAGTGCGGGATGGAAGGCAGCAGCATCACTGCCGTGGGAGGGTCCGTGGGACAGACTAGGCAGTTTGGACAGAGCAGCCATGGCCCGAGCAACATTGGCTACAGCAGCAGACGATGAAATGCTCCCTTTCAGGCAGAAACGCGCTCATTGGACGAAGCACGGGTGCCTGCGCACGTGCCAAGCCGCCATTGGCCACGGCAGCCTCATGTTCCTCTGCCATTGGCTGCTCTCCTCACCCTATCTGATCCCCAGATGGCTCTCTGCTCCCCCTGCCTGGGGTTTCATCTCTGTAGTGTCACTCGCTTTAGGTATAGTGCTCGCTGCAGAGGTTCTCAGAATGCATATTCCTAAGCGCGTGCATGCCATAGCGGCGTTGGCTCTGGCTGTTTCTGGCTGCATCTGGTTGCTTCTCTCCGGGCCGTTCCATCCCATACCTGCGCTCCAGGCTCGGCACGAGCCTGGCTCACGGTTCTGGCTGTCGTTTTCCCAAGCCAGCGGGTATGTGTCAGACGAGCCTCAGGATTTGGTATACCTTCCTGGGCCTGTTACCGGACCTGTTGCCGGACCTGTTGCCGGACCTGCTGCTGCTGCCTCGGCAGCGCAAGTTAGTACGTCCACATTCTCCGAACCAGCAGCAGTTGCAGCCAGAGCAGCAGCAGCAGCCGAAGCTGCAGGCTTCCGATCCTATCTTCTTGGTGCTCCGCTCCTAGCCATGGCAATCCCGAGCCTGTGGGTTGTGCTGGCACAAAATATGGGTGGGGCGTATCCGGGCCTAGGAGCAGCAGGTTCGGCAATCTGGTATGTCGTCTTGCTGGTTTGGAGTGCAGCCTTGGTGGCGTACGAAAAGCTCGGACCTCTCGGCTTGCTTAGGGGGAGCTTACCAGTCCTAATGGTGGTGGCGATGGGAGGGGTGGCTTGGGGAATATGGCGGGCCCCCGAACCTAAAGGCGAGGGACGGCGGGGCGACCTGGCGGTTCAGACGGAGTGGTGGAGGCTCGGGCGGCTCGCGTGGGGCAGCGGCGTCCCGGACCGAATGGTTAGGCTCGGTGCCCTTATCCTCATTGCATTTCTCATGCTTCTCTCACAGGGGACCTTGTCGTCTCGGTGTAAATAGCAGGGGGGATGGGAACAAATGAAGGGAAACCTAGAGAAAACAGGCAACACGAGTTGCAGACATGCACGGTTTATTAGCACAAGGGAGGGTAAGGGGCAGGGGCTCTCCTTTGGCTTCGTCTCTTCCCCTCTTGCTGCTCAAAGCCCCTTCTCCCTTCGTCTACACAGGCAAGACCTGTTGGAATTTGATGCACCTAGAGTGAGAGTCTGTAGTAGGCACTGCTCGTGCCACCAATCCCTTGTTACTTGTCGAGTTTATCCCTTGCCACTGCTCCTGCGACATGCATGCTGAGCAATGCCATGCATGCTGAGCAATGCCATGCATGCTGAGCAATGCCATGCATGCTGAGCAATGCCATGCATGCTGAGCAATGCCATGCATGCTGAGCAATGACATGCATGCTGAGCAATGCCATGCATGCTGAGCAATGCCATGCATGCTCGAGGGTGCTTCAGTGGCTGCAGTATTGACCTGTACATTCCCTGTGAGTTGACCCATGGGCTGGCTGGCTTGCTAGGCACAAGGGCCTGCAGCGTTTCTTCTGGGTTGTCTAGCTGCTACTTGCATGAAGCTGTGGCCCTTGTATACACCCCTTCTATACATTCTCCCTTGTAATCATCATATTTACATATCGTCCCTTCTTATACATTCGCCCCGTTTTTGTATCCATTTGTTCACCTTTTCACTCCTTCGTTCAGCCTGCACCAGAGAATGGTGCTCTTGCATGCGTTACCTGCATCACATGCACCACATGCATCACATGCATCACATGCACCACATGCACCACATGCATCACATGCACCACATGCACCACATGCACCGCATGCACCACATGCACCACATGCACCACATGCATCACATGCACCACATGCATCACATGCACCACATGCACCACATGCACCACATGACCACATACATCGCATGAGTCCCATGCACCACCATCGCCTTCGGTCCTCGTCTCTTTTGGCCTCCTCCCCTCTCCAACTCCCCTCAATTGCTTCCTCCGCCTCCCCCCTCCCCCCCTCCTTCCTGGCCCTCATTCGCCTCATCCTAATCCTCCCTCGCCCTCACCTCCTCTTCGCTCTGTTTCCTGTTCCCCGCTCGCATTCCCCTCCCTTTTCCTACCGGAACTCCCTACCACAACAGGCGCTATTAGCTCTTCTCCTGATTGTTCTCCTCCTCCTCCCCTTCCCCCTCCTCCTTCAATACGCCTACGCCCCTTCCTCCTCCCCAACCTTCGTCAGCAGCTTCGGCAGCAGCAGCAGCAGCAGCAGTAGCAGCCCCGGCAGTTCTGCCAGTGCCGAGCCTGGCTCGGAGGCTTGGGTGCAGCTTCGGGTGCTCAACTTCAATGTGCAGCAGGGATTCAGCCGTGCAGGTTCAGTGAACATGGACGCCGTTGAACATGTCATCTGGCAGCAGAAGCCGGACATTGTATTGTAAGTAGACAATGCAAATGTATTGTGAAAATAGGGCCCTACTTTGTACAATTGAGTTGTGCAGGTTCAGTGAACCTGGACGCCATAGAGCGCGTCATATGGCAGCAGAAGCCGGACATTGTATTGTGAGTAACACTGTGCAAAACGTATTGTTGGTATGGGGCCCTTCTCTACTCTGTACAGTTCAGCCGTGCAGGTTCAGTGAACATGGACGCCGTTGAGCATGTCATCTGGCAGCAGAAGCCGGACATTGTATTGTAAGTAAACTACTTGTATTGTTAAATACAATACAGCCATGCAAGTTCAGTGAACCTGGACGGACGCCTATGGCAGCAAAAACTGGATTGCGTGTGTTAAGTCTCAACAGGATGTAGTTCAGTTTCCTGTTCATCTCTGCTTCACCTCTGACTGTGTTTGACCCTGATTGACTGTCCTGTATAGTTCTTCCCACGTGGGTCCCATGGCAGGTTGCAGGAGTCGGACACAATGCACACGATCCACAGCAATGTTGACTCTGGCTGACTAGTTTGACCATGCTTGACCGACCTTGACCTTGATGTGCTGTCTCTTTCCACATTGCTCGGCCCCCCATTGCAGGTTGCAGGAGTCGGACACAATGCACACGATCCATGGCAATGTTTACTCTCTCCGAATTTTTTTACCACGTTTGACGATGTTTGACTGGCCTTGACCTTGAATTGTCGTCTCCTTCTCCACTCTTATCCCCATGGCAGGCTGCAGGAGTCAGACACCATGCACATGATCCATGGCAATGTTGACATGGTGAGTGAGTCACATGCTGGTAGGGTATTCCTGGAAAGTCGTGTTCTGAGTCGACTCAAAACACAATGTTGAGATGGTGAGTCGCATGCTGGTAGGTTATTCCTGGAAAGTCCTAAAAACCTTCTCATACTGGGCAGGGGTGTACCTGGTAGGAACTCAGCTCAATGCTTGAGAACATGTGAGTCAGGGACGAGACTTGCAATCACCGTGCTGAGTCAGGTGTGAGCGTGTGAGTCAGCACCGTAAAAGTGCTGACTCTCATTGGGTGGTGGACTCGCGTCAGTTGTAGCATGGCTGGTTCATGGGGCTGCTCCATCCACCCGCGCGCACTCATTACTTCCCCCTACCCCCCTCTGAACCCTCTGTGTTCCCTCCCACAGGTGCAATACCTAGCAACATGGCTGGGCATGCACGCGTGGTCCTCCCCTCCCGCCCGCCACCAGTCCTGGGGCTGTGCCATCCTCTCGCGCTTCCCCCTCCTCTCCGCCTCGCCCTCCCAGTCCCTCCCCTCCCCTCACGGCGAACTCGCCTGCTTCCAGCACGCCGTTATTCTCCTAGGCGCTGGTAACATGCTTCCCGGAGGCGGTAACATGGTTACCAGCAGTGGTGCGGCTGCTGGTGGTAACCAGACAAGTGGGGTCGTGTCTGGTTACCCTGTTCACATCATGAACGCGCATTTCAGTGATCTTGAGGTGGATATTCGGTTGGAGGCTGAGCGGGCGGCGTCGCTTGTCCGTAGTGTGCTGCAGACAGGAAAAGGGGGGAAGGAGGGTGGGGGAGAGGAGGGAGTGAAGGAGGATGGGGCTGAGAGGGAGGAGAGGAGGACTCAAGAAGAAGGGTTGCAGGGAGGAATGGAGACAGCAGGTGAACTGTCAGGTGAAATTTCAGGTGAATCGGGTGATGTGGTGGATGGAACGGCAGATGCTCCTTCACGTTCTCCTGCCCATGATGTTTTGGAAGCAGAGTCAGGGACGGCAGCAGGCGGTGCAGCAGCAACAGCAGAAGCTACTGGAACAGCAGCAAAGAGCAGTTTATTCAGTAGCATGGAAGCAGCAAGCAGTGCAGCCGCATTGGATGTGACAGAGGAAAGTGCAGGAGAGGAAGAGGCTTTGGAGGACCCTGTTTCTGGGGCGGAGGGCGAGGCAGCAGTAGCATCACAGGCAGCGCAAGCAGGGGAAACACAGGTTGCAGAAACGGCAGAAGCAGCAGGATCAGCAGCAGCAGCATCGGCATTTGTGGCAGGATCGGCTGAAGGAGAGGCACTGGCGGAGGGAACTGCAGCAATAGGGCCAGAAGGTGCATGGGAACCAGAGGGAGCACCAGGTTCAGTGGCAGCACCAACATCATTAGCAGCTGCTTCACACTCACAACCAGCTTCACACTCACAACCAGCTTCACACTCACAACCAGCTTCACACTCACAACCAGCTTCACACTCACAACCAGCTTCACACTCACAACCTGCTTCACACTCACAAGCAGCTTCACACTCACAAGCAGCATCAGCATCACAAGAAGCACCAGCCCCTACATCCACCACCAACCACCCTCTCGCTTCATCCCTCCCCTCTACCCCCACTCCCCCACCAACGCCCGCCCCGTTTCACTCCCTCGCCCCCACTGCCCTCATTTTTGGAGGAGACTTCAATCTTCCCCCGCTCTCCCCGCCCTACCTCACCCTCCTCTCTTCGGGTCTCATAGACACTGAGGCTGAGAAGATGGGCGCGTGGAAGAGCATGGGAGACCGGGACCCGGGGGCAGGGTATGTGTTTGTGTCGCGGGGGAACGTGGAGTGTGAGGCGTGGGCGGAGCCGAGGTATGATCAGAGAAAGACGTCTGATGGGTACCCTGTGGTGGTGGATGTGAGGGTCACTCTCCCTGCTGCTGCTGTGTGAAAGTCCTGTGTGAAAGAAACAGCAGGAGTGTGCAAGTTGGTTTCCAAGGGAGGGGCTGGGTGGAGTGTGAGGCGTGGCGGGAACCTAGGTACGACCAGAGGAAGACTTCTGATGGGTTTCCTGTGGTGGTGGATGTGCGGGTGTCGCTCCGTGCTGCTGTACGAGGGGGGAGGACACCGGAGGGCAATCAAACACGCTCCCTGCTGGTGTGGCGTGGTGTCTTGGCTAAGAAAGGAGTGGGAGAAGAGAAGGAGCCAGAATAAGGCCGGAACGGGTTTTTTTGTCATCCCTGCGCTCGCTGGGTGACTGGTGATGGGTGATGGGTGAAGCGGTGGTGTGTGGGTGTACACTTTCCGGGCAATGGGGCTTACTGCAAGCAAGTAAGCAAGCGAGTGGTGGCGATTGGAGGCGGGTACGCACGCTTGAGCAAAGCATTGGATGAGAGTGGAGCAGAGAGGGGGCCTTGGTTGCGGGTACGCATGCTTTCCAGGCAATGGGGCTTACTGCAAACAATAAGCAAGCGAGTGGTGGCGATTGGAGGCGGGTACGCATGCTTGAGAGAAGCATTGGATGAGAGTGGAGTGGAACAGAGAGGGGGCTTTCTTTCGTTGCGTCAAAGAAGCATCAACCACCTTCTTTGCGATAGTGTGATGAAGAAATTGTTGAGACAGTGAAGGCATGCAAGCTGGGAACGAGAGCAGAGCACTCTGTGTTGCACGCAGGCAGGCGGACTGTTGGGAAATTAGCAGGGATTCTGACACCTGTCAACCACCTTTGCGATAGTGTGATGAAGAAATTGTTGAGACAGTGAAGGCATGCAAGCTGGGAACGAGAGCAGAGCACTCTGTGTTGCACGCAGGCAGGCGGACTGTTGGGAAGTTACGGTAGCAGGGATTCTGACACCTGTCATCTTTGCGATAGTGTGATGAAGACAATGTTGAGACAGTGAAGGCATGCAAGCTGGGAACGAGAGCAGAGCACTCTGTGTTGCACGCAGGCAGGCGGACTGATGGGAAGTTGGCAGGGATTCTGACACCTGTCAACCACCTGCTTTGCGATAGTGTGATGAAGACAATGTTGAGACTCTTTTGAGACATCTTAAAACCAGGGTGCACATTCAACGCGGTTCGGCTTGAGATGTTGGGAAGGGGGTTTGGAGAAAAACAGTGATTGGCTCACGAGGGGCGACAAAAAAATGATTCCGCTAGAGCTTCGGGCATTTCGTAGGTGGCGGGAGGGGGTGAAATGGCGGGAGTGGGTGAAACCGAATGGCGGGAGGGATGAAACAGATTGGCGGGAGGGGGGGGAAACGAAATTGCGGGGGAGGGGGGAAACAAAATTGCGGGGGAGGGGGGAAACGAATCTCGACGGGGAGGGGGAAATGAAATTGCGGGGGCGAGGGGAAACGAAATTGCGGGGGAGGGGGGAAACGAATTTCGACTTGAAGGGGTTGAAAGCACACCTCGTAACCCACTCAGTCAAGGGATAACCTTTGATGCACATTCAGCTGAATGTGCACCCCGGTTTTAAAAGTAGAAGAAAACGCACTCAAGATGGGATTAGAGAGCAGGCAGGCGGACTGTTGGTAAGTTAGAAGGCTGCTAGAGATTCCGGTCAAGTGCAAACTAATCTTCACCAATCTTTATCGGGGTGGGAGGAGAGCTAGGCAGAATGCTCTGCTCTATGGCAGCACTAGAAGCTGCTAAAGCTTCACACTTAAGGTTTAGGTCTGTGCTTGTTTGTTCTCACATCACATACCGCTTCTTGAATTCCTCCCCTCCCCTTCCCCACTCCTCCCCCTCTCCCTTTCCCACCCCCCTTTCCCCCTCCCCACCTTTCGCCCCACTCTTACCCCTCTTATCCTTGTGTCAACTACCTACGGTAATAACCCAACTCCCCTGTAAGCAGGGGTTCTACAGTGGTGTGTTTGTCCGGGTGTATACGATATGAAGCAAATCTTGTCTGAAAAGGCACCTGTGCATATCTTATTTGAGCTTACTTTCACAGCTGTCATAACAGCCTTCCAAACACCTCATCTGCAAGGAATACGGTGGTACCTACTGAAATGGACATCTGGTCTGGTCCGCTTACACCACACATAAGGATTGGAACACAGAGTGAATAATAATGTTATGTTTTGATGTCATACATAGTCCTTCAGATGTAAGGAAAGCACAATTATTGTCAGAATACTGAACGAGAATGGGTGCATTGAACAGAAAATTGGGTACAAGTACTAACCCTAATTGGGTTGTACCCCTTTATGGGCTACCCCACTATAGCCTACACAATGTAAGCACTTTAACATTCTGACACACCCCCGTAGCGTAGGCAAAGTGGGGGAGAACAAGTGGTCACAAGTCCAGTCAAGAAAAGGCAAAGCAAGCTCAGGGTGGATCACGAAGTCACCACACATTCCGAGCACAAGCAAATGGCCACAAGGCCAGTTCACATGCTGAGTTATATAAAAGAGAACAAACAGTACAGTGATCATACACTAGCAAGAGTAAGCATGCAGGTATATATATAGATCACAGTACAAGCAAAGTCACGCAGTGAGCAAGTGAGGCAAAGTAGGCACAAGGCATAAAACATTTCAGACACGCTGATGATCACCAGACTGAAGTGCCTTGGTGAATATATAAGCAGTGTTGGCCCAAGTGGCCACGTAAGCAAGACGAAGCCGACCACGTTGCTGCAACTCTCGAGCAAGGAAGTAAGGCAGAGCGATGTGCTTCGTTCTGTACTCCAGTCTGTGCTCCTGACAGAAGGCAATCATGGCCTTGTTGTCTACGTACAGAACTGGAGAAGAACGAGGCCGCTCTCCAAAGTCGGTCAGCAGGTAGGTGAGCCAGCGTAACTCCTGTGCAGCCATGGCCCCTGCGTAGATCTAAGCCTCACAGCTGGAACTGAGAACAGAAGACGAGCGGGTAGACCGTCAAGAAACAGAGCCGGAGCCAAGGCTGAAAGTGTAACCCTGTGACGACCGCTGCGCAGCCAAGTCGTCAACCCAAGAAGCATCTGCGTGACCAGTGAGGACAACTGGACCCCGTCCTCCAAGCATGAGCCCCATGCCCGAAGTACTGCACAAGTAACGCAACACCCTCTTAGCGGCCTCCCAGTGCTCTGGTCGGTGTCTCCCGAGCGCAACGTAGCATGCCAGGATGCTAACAGGGTAGGCAAGGCCAGGTCGAGTGCAGATCATCAGGTACATGAGGCAGCCAACAAGCTCTGGATACGGGCCACTCGGCTCTACAGACTCGTCCGAAGGTGGAGCTGAGAGCGAGTGATCGGTAGGCAGAGGAGTGGACTGTGGCGAGGAGTGCTGGAAGCCGAAGCGCTGAAGGACCTGGTGCACCATGTGTGACTAAGTCAGGGTGATGGTGCGCCGTGCTCTGTCCTGGGTGATTTGCAAGCCAAGATAGCTGCGCAGCTCACCCAGGTCAGTGCAGATGTGTCTCTTCTACAGCTCCGACTTCACAAGGGCCGGTGCCTCAATGTCAGTAGTGGCAAAGACCAAGTCGTCGACGTACACGAGGACGTTGAACGGCGACAGCGAAGTGTCGGTGCGTAGAAACAGCGACGGGTCAGCAGTCGAAGGAGCAAAACCAAGAGCCGCAAGCGTCGTCCTCAGTGTGTCGTGCCACTCGCGAGGCGCTTGGCGGAGACCGTAGACTGGCCGCCGGAGGCTCCACTGGGTACCTGCAGGAAACGACCCAGTGAAGCAAGGTGGACGGGGCAGCCAGATCTCCTCGTGCAGGCTGCCCTGTAAGAAAGCTGTGCTGAAGTCAAGAGAGTGCAGCTCGTAGTCACGCTGAGCGGCGACGTGCAGCAGAACTCGAAGAGTGGTCATCTTCGGGGTAGGGGAGAAGGTCTGGAATAAGTCAACTCCCTGTTGCTGACTGAAGCCTCGTGCAACGTAATGAGCCTTGAAGACAGGCGGAGAACCCGGCGGCCGCTTCACCCTGAAAATCCACATGCCATCAACTATGTTCGCCCCAGAAGGGGGAACTGCGTCGACGCAGGTGCCTGTGGACTTCCAGGATGCCATCTCTGCGTCCATGGCTGTTTGCCACTGAGAGGAGTAGGGACCCATAGTCGCCTCTGCGTAAGAGCGCGGGGTCGGGATGACTGGTGCATCCGGGTCTCAGGTGCAAGCAGCATGGTCACGAGATGAGGTACATCAGCTGCAAAACACTCAAAGTCCTCTTGCCTGTCCTCAAGGACGTCCATGCCAAGAGCACACTCACCCCCGACGGATGGAGGACAATCAGGCTCCGACTTAGCAACAAGACTAGTGGCGTAGTCGAGACGACAGGCGGCAGCAAAGTCAACAAGCTCAGCAACTAGGGCAGACGCAGCAGTGGACTCAAACGAAGGGTTAGTGACAACAGTGGCTAGAAGACGAGGGACAGTAGGACTGGCAGCACGAGCTAAGTCAGACTCAGGGTCAGGAACGGCAAGAAGAGAGGACGCAGGAGGAGGCGGCAGGGGAACTCGCAGTGGAACAGAGGAAGGACGAAGTGCCATAATGTGAGTGCCGGGGACAGGAGGAGGACGCGGACGAGGAACACGACGACCAGTGTGAACAGCGCGAATAGGCGAGGCAGGACGAGACACATGCTTATGACGCTCTGTAAAAGAGTATGTCTGCTCAGGTAAGGAGAAGGAGCAGGCAGTGGGGAGTCTGGCTGTAACTGTGGCTGCGACTGGTGAGGTGGTGGACTCAATAAGCTAGGAGGAAGGCCAGTAGAAGACGGGAGACTAAGAACCTGGCGAAGGACCGAGTCAGGAGGCGGCAGAGACGACGGTGGTGGCGGAACAAAAATCAGTCACCGCTGCACAGTGCCTCCAGCACCAGTACCGCCAGCTCCAGCACCCCCAGCGCCAGCACCTCCAGCTCCAAGGTCTCCAGCTCCAGTGCCTCCAGCTCCAGCGCTTCAAGCTCTAGTGCCTCCAGCTCCAGCTCCTCCAGCTCCAGCGCCTCCAGCGCCAGTGTC